ATTGAATACAATTAAATGCATGATTATAAATCATATAATTTAGACTTTAACACAAACTAAAATTTCCAATAGAACAACAACACCTTAAACAGCAGTTATTAACATCACAGAAGCTAGCTACATAACAGCATCTGTCTCAAGTACATGAAACTAACTTCAACAATAGCAAATATGTGACCAAAGATTTCTACTTAATACCAACATGATCTCACTTGAAAAATTTAAGTAATGTTTTAGTCACTCTACTATATGTGATCTGCTGATCTGAGAGATATCTGTAAAACAGTAACACAAACTAACCCTTCACTTCCAACACCAGATATTATTTTATTCTGAAATTCATACATCAGTGGCTTTATTCTTTTCCATCTGCAGCCCTCAGAGAACCCAGTTGAACAGGAGCCTGAGTTTGCACCACTTTGGATGATCCATACACTGATAAATCAACACCAGATGCCTTCTCTTTCTCTAGTTGCTCTTTGATCCAAAAGTATGTGATTCTCAGCCCATCCTGCATTCAGAATTCAGGTACTTTGAGTAAAACATACATTCTTACTCATCAAATTCCATACTAATCAGACACTGGAATGTGAACTAAAATGTGATATAATGTTCACAATTGGTAGGAAATTTATAAGATATAAGATAATTTTACAGCCACATACAAAGAAAGGAAAATGAAAATAATACCTTCAATTTCATAGTTGGAGCCCAACCAAGTTTTTCTTTAATTAATGTGTTGTCTGAATTACGTCCTCTAACACCTTCTGGGCCAGGAATGTGGTGTATTGGTATAGTCTTATTCTCAAAGCTAAGAACAATCTCAGCCATCTCATTCATGCTCACCATTTCATCACTTCCAATATTCACTGGCTCCCGGAAATCTGATTTTGTCAATCTAAGCACAAACAAAAAAACAAAGAACCAGCATTGTAATTTAAACCATCTTACCAAGTAATTAGAACTAGCCAGCAGAATAGACATAAAAGAAGGTAATATAGGCTTGATTTAATCAAGCACTGTACAACCAAATAGGCAAATCTTAATTCTTGTAAAGTCACTTCAAACACTATTGCTTCCATTAAATTCAGCAGATGTTGTTGACTGAGACAGTAACATTTCTTCCCAGTCTATGCAAATCTTAAACATCTTTAGAACTAGCAATTTCAGGATAAACATAGAAAATTTACAATTCAGCAGATGTTGTTGATTGAGACATTAACATTTCTTCCCAGTCTATGCAAATCTTAAACATCTTCAGAACTAGCAATTTCAGGATAAACATACAAATTTTACAATTGTTTACATTTTGTAATTAATGGCAAATGCACACTACTGGATTCCTTCTCACCATTCAATAAAAACAAAAAGATGTACTCATAATTCAAATTTTAAAATATGAGAAACCCTGGAAGACATAATTTTAGATGAAACAGTCATTAGCCGTGAGATCAGCAAAGGCATACCTGAGTACACCTTCAACACACTCATCAATAAAGGTGAAGGATCTTGTTTGCAATCCATCTCCCCACATCTCAAATTGGTCTTTGGAAGTAAGAGTCTTCCGACAAAATGCTGCAGGAGCCTTCTCCCTTCCCCCTGGATTACAAACAAAAAAGCAACAAACTTTCAAATCCAAAAGAGCTATACAAAAATGTCAAACACTACTTTGTCGACTTATAGATATGACATGACAACAACTTCAAAAACTATCAATTCAATCAAGAACTAATGGGTCTAGGTTCACTCAAGAAACACAACATCACTAAGTATTGAGCCAAACCACATAGGAGAACGACATTACTTCAACCAAAAACCTTAAGATAATGGACTTATGGATCTTCTACCTTATATATTGTTCAATTTTATCATTTTTATCCAATACAAGACTTACACTCGCACTTGGATTTGTTAACAGAAACATACCTTTCCAAGTCCCATAAGGACCATATATGTTATGGAATCTTCCAATGCGGCACTCAATTCCAAAGTCCTTGTTATAATGATTGCATAACTCTTCAGTTGCAAGCTTCTCTAGCCCATATGCATCTTGTGGCTGAAAAAAGTCACAAATTAAACACGCCCTTGATGACCTAAGTATACAAGTGAATAACCAGCATAACTTGAACAACTAATTAAAGGGTCAGCAACAAACCTCAGCAGGCCAGGCATCAGCCTCCTTCAAACTCACATTTGTTTCCAACTGTTTAAATTCAGGGTAGATACAAGCACTAGAAGCATAAAAAAACCTAAAAGAAAAGCAAAAACAAAAGACCTTCAATCATGACACAGATAAAGACTATTATGCAATGGAGAGTAGCAGCACAACTCATGTTTGTTCAAATTCACTGACCTCTTAACACCATTGATCCTAGCAGCTTCAATCATGTTGAAACTGATCATGGTGTTGTTGTACATAATGACCGAGTGATTTGACTGGATGAAACCCATTCCACCCATATCAGCAGCAAGATTGAAAACATGATCCACACCCTTGGTAACTGTCAAACAGTTATCCATGACCCTAAGATCAACAAGGTGGAACTCATGGCAGAACATGTCTTCAGTCATGTGCTCATTTTTCTTCCAATCAGAAGCAATGATGTAATGCCCCTCAGTCTTGAGGCGGCGTGCAATGTGTGAGGCAATGAAACCACCGGCCCCGGTGATGGAAATTCTGAGCTTTTCAGTGGGCCAGTAAGGTTCCCTCTCAAGGTTTTGGTAAGTGTATGCTCCATAGTCGGTGGTTCCGGAACTTCCCATGCTGCACCCCACACGAACGAATTAGTCAGAAACGCATAAAACGTTACCAGAAACAACAATTTCATCATTCAAGTTGCTTTTTTTAAGGAAGAACCAGACAGAGAAACAGGTACACAACCTTGGGAGATGAAAACCAACCAACAGATATTAAAAGAGCACATACCCCACACAAGGGCACATGGAATGAAACAGCATTATGACAAACAATAAAATAATTAAAGGGTGCATGCAAAAAAATCAACTCGCCGATACAAAACTTGTGGAAAATATTAGTAACAAAATAGGTGGCAAGTAATGAGATTAAAGAAAAGCAGAGAAGGATAACATGAAAGATATAAGAGAGTGATAAGCCATTATTAAAAGCTAAAGGTTGAAGAATTTGAGAGGAAGAATACCTGATAATGAAAGTGAAAAGGATTGAGAGAAGAAGAAGAAGAGAGGAATGGTTATGGGTTTGAAGTACATGTGCTGTGTGTGGTGGGTGTGAATGCTATATATAGAAGAGAGTGCCACTGTGTGAAGGCAGAGCCACTCATGTATCACTGCTTCCTATCTATTAGATCCATTGGAGGCTATGGAAAGACAATTAATTTTTCATAAATTATTTATCTATTACTTGTTTTTTAAATACTAAATATATATTTTTTATTTAATATAGTTATAGTTAATATTTATAAATAGATATACCAATAGTTATGAACAAATAATCCACTTATATTACAACCATACTAAGTTTATGATGAGTTTGTTGAGTTTTGTAATCATTATCTTTAAGCATCGTATTTAAATGAAAAATAATATAATTATTTTTACACGGATAACACTCTCAGCATACCAATATTTTAAAATAGTTATTATAAAATCAATAAATTTATCATACATGAAAAGGTATTATACTCTTATACTATTAAAATATTCTAACAATTTTTCAAAATTATTCACTTATTTAATAATTTTACAATATATCATTCAAGCTCCAACCATTGTACAAATATTTTATTTTATTTTTAAAAATTCTTATATACTTATAATTTTAAATTTCCATGATATAATCTTTAATTAAATATGTTAATATCTTAAAATCTATTCTTCATTTATTTATTTGTTATTATATAAAAATTTATTAAAAATAAATAAATTAAAAAAAACAGACTTAGCATCAACAGATTTTCAATTAGTAGAAAAATATTCTCCTTCAACGCAAAATTCAAATTCAAAGTTCTTTTTTTTAAATATATATATATATATATATATATATATATATATATATATATATATATATCGATT